CAAATACCAATCTGAAAAGGAGGCCGTCCATTGTTTGAAGTTTAAACGCCTAAGTGTGTAAAAATCTATAAAAAACCTTCTTTATGTTTGAGCGGTTGATTTTTCATCTCGTTTCATTGGATGTTTTCATATTGTCAAACAGACATAGGTCATTCTTATCATGGCGTTTAATTGACTATCCAGAATCAGTAGTAAACTTTGAACACTGTCTTCTTAGCCTTATTTCAGCCTCTAATTTACTTAACATGCATTTTGTCTTTGGGAGAAAAGACTAGCTAAAGCAAAGTTCGACAAAAATGTTCTCAGAGTTTCCGGCAAAAGTAAAACGGCATGTGATTCTAATGACCAACATGTTGATCCTAATTTCTTGCCACTTATCTTTACATTGCAAGACTTATACAATAGTCAAGTTTAACCGGTTCCGACAAGGTGTTTTGCTGAACAAAGTATCTATAAAAGTATAATATTATAAAATTTACCCTTAATAATTGAGGTGATTATCTGTTTTCTTGCTTCTACATGATATATAGTAATGGAATACCTTATATTCATCTTATATGTATGACATTTGTGAAATGAAGTGAGAATTGAAAACCAACAACTGTGAGATGTTTTTCTTTAAGAATTTGTACTTCAATGGCAAAAATAGGTTGAGAAATATTATTATGTTATTCTTGTCATTTCGCATTGAGGTTTTACTAAAAAATATTCTATTTGTAAATATTACATTTTTATCGTGCTTAACTTCAAAACAATGTTTGGCCTAAGACAGTTTGAATTCCGTAGGGATATTTATCTAGTCAAATAGGTGATATATTAATTAATAATCTCTTAAAAGGTATATGCTATTTAGATTTCATGTCCATCTCTAAATAATAACTGAATCGATTCAAAATTATTACTTAGTATACACAAAAGTAATTAATATATTCAGTTTCCAAGATCATATTTAACGATTTCAAAACGATATTTGTCAATATTCATTAGACTTTTGAGGAGAACTGTAGTTAGTTCATGCAAAGCATTTTACTGTAGAAAAATGTAATATAACGTTTCCTTTGTAAGTTGCTGCCAATATACTTGAAAAAAGTAATCTGGGACGACCTCTAAACACAAACACAAACCACTTGCTCAGCAACAATATTTTAAAGCAAGCGTTTAGTTTACCATTAAATAATGCCATTCAGTCTTAGAGACTGGTTGACAGTCACTAAAAAATGGATGATTCCGCAGCACTTGATGACTGGAAGCGTTTCCTGTACGTGATGATATTCACTATAAAGATTGTATTCCCGGATTCCGTACTGATCCTTAGCAAATATATGTAACAATATAAACTTTAAATTCATTGATAGCCTAGCAGTAATCATTATCGTATGTGTCCTCTAGTTACTAGTGATTGAGTTTTATTGATCAAATTACAATGAGAGCAAGTTTGTGTGTTCTATCATCTCGTGCAATTTGTTTGAATCTTTGGCAGCTGGAACAATAAGTACTGGACTTACATTTGTGGCCATACGTATCTTAAGGAAACTGAGTTTTACATCGGGTTTTTAAATCCATGTTTACAGTTATTGTGGTCAAAAATGTTATAACGAGCTTCCTAGACCGGTACTTCGACGCCTTAATAAAGCTCGTGAAGAGCAGACTAGAGAAAACCAGGCTTTTTTCCGATCTGGACGTGGTTGTATAGACCAGATATTCACAATAGGCCACGTCTTAGAACATAGAAACACATTCAGACGCCCCCAATAGTAGTATTTCTCGACATTAATGCGGAATTTGACTCTGTAAATCGTGAAGTTCTATGGCAGTGTTTGTCATTGAAAAGAGTACAAAGAAGCACATTAACCCTGTAAAGGCTCTCTACTCGAAGACAACTGGTAGAGTGAGAGCTTATGGCGAACTGTCACCAGAATTGATTACCTCAAATGGTGTTCGTCAGGGCTGTCCACTCTCTCCATTCTTGTTCAACTTTGTCGTTGACGTGCTTTCAGAGATAACAATTTCCTCATCTAAATTTCCAGGGGTGGAACTTTTACCGGGAGGTTCACTTGTTGACTTAAAATATGCCGTTGACATAGTTCTATTTGATGAAGACGCTGACAAAACGCAAAGTCTTCTGACCACCGTAAGAAACAATGCAAACACGTTCGGGATGCGGTTCTCCCCCTCGAAATGCAAAATGTTGCTTCAGGATTGGCTTGCATTGACACCCAAACTAATGATAGGGAGTGAAGTAGTTGAGCGTGTCGACCACTCCACTTGTCTTGGGAGTCACATCAGCCTTTGTGGTTTAGTGTGTGACGAAATCTCAGCACGGATACAGAAGACTCGACTAGCTTTTGCCAACTTGCGTCATTTATGGCGTAGGCAGTATATCCGTCTACCAACCAAAGGACGGGTTTACTGCGCAGCAGTGTGTTCCTTCCTACTTTATGGCAGTGAAACGTGGCCTGTAAGAGTCAGAGATATTCGTAGGTTACTAGTGTTCGATCATAGGTGTCTTCGAAGCACTGCCCGTATATCATGGGACCATCGAGTAAGTAACACAGTTGTTAGGAAACGGGTACTAGGTAAGGATGGTTTATCAATTGATGAAGTAGTGAAACTTCATCAGTTGAGATGGCTGGGACACGTGTTACGTATGCCCAACGACCGACTACCTCGACGTGCTATGTTCAGTGGTATAGGAGTAGTTTGGAAGAAAGCTAGGAGTGGCCAAACCAAAACATGGCACAAGTCCATGAAGTCTGACAAGTGGACTGAGTCATGTTGGTAGGTGTAGACTACCTGGTTGGTGACCGCGAAATGATAGCAACCGATGGTTAGAGACGCTGAATGACATGGCTCAAAATCGTTCGCAATGGCGCAGGTGCATCCACTCTCTGTGTTCTCCCAAATTCTAATCTTCTGAATTCTTCATGTCCCTTTTTTCCTCTTTCCAAATTCACTTCACTAGATTATACTCCTTGCATAACATCTTCAAACCCCAATCTTTCCGATTACTGCTTATACTTTTACTACGTCTACCAGTATTGGATTTGAATCGACAATTGTATTTGTGTTGTAATGTAGTGTGGCAACTCGAACTGAAGTACACAAGTACGTACGAATTTCTACGCTGTTGATGACTGACTGAGAACAATACTGATATTTTAGATGACTAAAATACTGACACTGTTTTTTTAAAATTACTGGTTCTCGCCGTCAATTAGCGATAAGTTATGAGTCGATAACGCGTGAAAATGTTTTTTAGCTCTTAGTTTGTTAAGAAAACAGTAAGGATGTTGGCAGTAAAATAGCATTATTGGCATAAAAGCTCATTAGGAGTGTAATCAACGTGTGAAGTGTATTATTTTCAGAATTATGTTTTATCTAGACACTATTTGTTCTCAGTAAAAAAAATTTGTGGCACGATTTCGAAAACGATAAACTTAGTAAAAAATCGGGGGATTAAAGTTGTAGGTTAGCAAAGAAAAGGCGAGACACTTTCTTTGTCAAATGGATGATAAAAATTTATCATAGGAATTCTTTAGAAAGTAAATTGTTCACCTTAATTATATGCGTATGACTGTTATTGAGAAGTTTAGCTTAGTGTTAATCGTTGTTAGTTAGATGAAAAAGCTAATTTTATGTATAAATACTCCTGACTGGAGTTGTTTAATTTTCAAAGGACTGTTATTGGGTGGTAAAGTCCCGTATAACAAATACTGAAAAACTGTTTTCGCAATTCAGAAAATAATTCATTTTGAAAGCATGCTCGAATTAGTCTTGCTTTACTTTTCGGATTTGTAAAAGGATACTCTTTTAATCATTTTAGTTGAACTCCATTAATTACCACCGAGACGTGATAACCATTCCACTAAACGGAGAACATTGTAAATTTTCACTCAAAGTATACTCAACTTACTGAGTGTGGGCTACATAGGAAACTGTATTATATGATATGACGTTATCGTTCTGAACATCTTAATTTATTGATCAAATATATGCAAGAAAGCGACGATGCTTTTCAACGACGAAAATACCAGTTCATCGATGACTTAAAGCACTCAACTGGCCAACTATTCGAAATATAGACTTGTGATTACTTATTTGTAAATGTATAACTACATTGTTTGTAGGCATTTCATTTTTGTAGTTCAAAAATCCTTCTTTACATCACAAATTCATGGAACTTCGACAACCCGGATACGTTAATTATTGCCTGGAAGTAAATCTTGATTAGGGAAAGTAGAGTAAGAGCTAAGTAAAATTCATGAGTGAATTCAATTTGTGGATTGGTACTACTAGTGAAAGTCACTATTAATGCTTTTTAGGTTGCTTTTATATATCGGGAAAAAAAGACGCGCATATTTTATCACCTCTTATTAAGTATCGCTATCACGTTTGGAAAACAACCAATATCCACTTGTGCTTGAGTCTATGAATCTGGGGAATGCAGGTGAATGGCACCTTGAACTGTGTTAAACAACGACTAAGGGTGCAAATACACCTGAGTTGGAGGATCAGCAGAGTTATAATGAAAGGAGATTAGATCTGGTGAGCTAGATGGGTGAGCAGTAATCACGGTACCTATATTTCTTACTTAATTTTATGGTTTTACATTAAAATGAAAAAAAAGGATTTAGATGTTATAGTTAAATTTACTCACTAAACAGTTTCAAAAGTTCTGTTATTTCATGAAGATTCGCAACTAATACTAGTTGTTATTGATTTTATAATCAGAGTGCAGAAAAACAGTTATCTTCTTGACCTCGATTTATGTACTGACTTCAAATGATTTTTACAATAAATCTATATCCATTAATTTATGTACTTGCATAATTCACTTGATTTGATGACATAACACTTACATGCAACAGTTCAAGTGCACTATATCCCATGGTATTCGAGGTCTTCTGATTTACTTTAAACATATGTTAATTGTCAATTATTAATTTTTTAAAATATACCGATTGGATAATTATAAAATAAGAATATATTTGTAGGCATTCACTGTCTAACTACAAAGTAAACTGAACATTGATGTGGCGAGTTAATTACTCTTCAAAATACAGTAAAAAATTGTTACGCAAATGAGTTTTTGGGATAAAAGTGAAATTTCAGTGGTAAAATATGTTCATTTGAATACCTGAGATCATGATAAGGTAAGATTTTTAAAACAATATTTCTTTGACTTTATTCAGGCTCTTAAAAGAGTTTGTTTAGTTGAAAATATTTATTTTAACAAAAAAAATTAAATTAATTTTCAGAATATGATGAAGTCATTGCATTCTCTTCTTTTGATAAAACTGGATATAATAGTGATTATAGTTGGTTGAAATTATTAACACAAAACATTTTTGAAGAGTTGTTTTGTAGATCAATCAAATTTTTCAGAATGTAAACTTGTAACGAAGGCTGCAAATTGATGTGTTTGGAGAGTTTATGTGAATAAGTATGGTGATGGGTCAATACCTGACGTTTATATTCAAAAAAGTCTATTGTTCATTCATTTAGATCTAATTTTCTTTTTTGGTTTTCTATATTATTCGTAAATCTTTTGTTACATTAATTAATAATATTCTAGAACATTCATTATACTTATCCATCAAAATGATTTGAACACATGAATTCGGATCATTCATTACAAGTTTACATTTTGAGCAATTTTACAGATCTGTGAAAACAACTCTTTCCTAAGACTTCTATGTTAATAGTCTAAACAAATAGATTTATTATCTTATATGCTGTTAAAGAGAAAGCACAAAATATAGTAAACTCATAGCACCCTGTCGATATTTTTATTATATCTTTTTTTAAACGTTTTGGCGAAACTAATTGCACTGTTGTTTCCTTACAAACTAGCTTATTGGTACTCAGCATGTCTAAAAAGCGTTTGTAGTCATAATCTATTACTCCTAAGTGATTAACCTTAGTAATCATCAAATGAATGTATTAATATTTTCTATGCTTTCTATTTACTGTTTGTTTCTGTTGAAAAATATTAAACTTCATAAAGCATATCAAACAAATATAGTGTGAGGCATTTTAAATAATGGTTATAAGGACTTGTGGTACTTTTATTTTGTTATGGCACTTAGTGAATGCCTAAAAAAACACCTCAATGTATCACAGTTTACAAAACCAAAAAAAATTTATCATAGTTGCTGCAAGGTTTGTTCTGTGTTTTTAGTTTTTCATACTCAATTTTCATTGAAAGGACATTGTTCCCTAGTTTGACAAAGTTGAAATAGTTAAGTTTTAATTGGGATGAATAAACAGTAAAATTTCCGTTCACATGAAGTATATTTTAAAGCTTCCTCTTAAGATGACTTGTAGTATAAGACACTTCAAATAAATAGTTACTTTTTGTATTCACTCATGAATACAATTTGACTAAAGGACATGTAGAGATCTTCATTATAAGTATCTGTTTCTAAGAAAATATCTTTTGATCAAATGCTTAGTTGGAGTTACCATTACTGGGCTGTAGAGCAGATATTGCAGCCCACTGGTTAAATATTCAGAAATTTCGAGCGTAGAAATGTGTTCTCAAAATAACCTATTTATCTCTCTCAATATATATATATATATATATATATATATATATATATATATATATATATATATATATATGTCAGACATAAATATGAAGGTTGTTAAACTATAACGAAACATTAACTTAACTGAAAATAATGATTAAGGAGAATAATCAGCCCTATAGACAACAACAGAGTTTTAGGACGAATAGATTTTAGTGTAAAGATTACTTCACATCTGGAAGTAATTCAGCTCAAACAATGTATAGAAATTCACACTTTCGTCATAGCTTTAAGGTGCGGGAAATGGAGCTTTTTTAAGTACATATATGATTCTATACTGATGGATAAATCAAAATAATGGTAATTTTATCTGCTTCATTTTGTAGTTGTCATATAAATTAGCACATTAAAACTTACATTAATTCTTTATGCACTGATTCTCTTCCTAAAACTATCTGTAGTTGATTAGAACCAATGAAAAATTAATGAATTTGTTTTATTCCGTAAATATTTTTCTGATTGTATTGTTTAAAATTACTGATCAAAGGATTATAATATATAAAAAATGTTGCTTTGTGATTCTCAAAAAATACATTAATGTAGAACACTAGATACCGAATGAATTTATATTAACCGAGAAATATGCATACAACACAAAAACGGTACTGTACTCAGAATCAGCCGACAACAGTCACAATTGATTCTTCTGTTAATGAAATGGAAAATGAAGACTGGAATAGATTTCTGGAAAATGACTTTACTAAATTTATGGGGATTACTTCACGGCAAAATTATCCATTTAACGATCAATCTATTATATATAATCCAAATGATACCAGTACTACTTCTAATATCATTAATAATAACAACATTCCTATCACATATAAAATGAATGATAATAATAAAAGTGGCAGTGTAAATAAAAATATTTTGGGACACGTCAAGGAGTTGCGAGAAAATTGTTCTAATGACAGTAATCTAGAAATTACTTCTAATTGTGATTGCTCAGATAATGATCTATCATGGACAAAGGATGTTTTCAATTCAAAGCATTATACCACTAGCTCTCTTGCTTTGACAAGTGGATTTATCAATGACACAAAAACACAAAATAATCATCCAGTCAGTAATGAATTTATTTCTGGTGAAGATTATCAACAATCTAACTATCTCTATGATCAACATTTTAATTCTACACCTGTACAATTATGTTCACAAACTGATTATTCTGTAATGAGAACTGTGAATTATCCTTATATTATTAATAACGAACATCCACATTATCTTAGTGAGTACATTCAATCAAGTGACACAGAGTATTCAAATTATCATAATAATCTTCATATAGATTTAAGATCAAATGTCTCTGATTTTACCGATACTAGTATTGCTAGTGATCCAGATTATCAGAACCAAAGCGAATCAAAAGCAAAGTCATCATTCATGTTTTTAAATGATCACTTATGTGCACCACAAGCACCAACCATAGAAAATTTAAAGTCATGCAATCCTTTAAGCCAGGAAGATTCCTTTGAGAATGGATGGCTTGATGGTCAAAACAGAACACATTATTGTGCTAACTGGTCAGTCGATTGGACAAATAATACTGAGTCAAATAGTCGACCAAACTATCACTCATGTAATTCAAAGCATATTCCTATAAACTTTGACAGTTTCCGATGTCTAGGTAAGTAAAAGTAATCATACTTGCTTTTAAACTCTAAATGAATTTTCCGTATTTCACGTTTAAGGTAACTTTTATTCAATTATTATAGTTATTAATAGTGAGTTGCAGATAACTATCACTGCTATGTCATTATTGTAATACAACGACGATGATGAAGAATTTAGTGGTTGAAAAAGTTTCTGCTAGGTGAAAATTAGGGTTACTTTACGAGTTGTCTAAAATGCCTTCTAAGTATATTATTAAGTACTATGTATGCCAATAAAAGTATTTCATGCATACAGTTCCTGGTATTATCATGAAAAAATCTAGAGAAACTACTGGAATAGAAGATTATAAATCTGCTATGTTTTATTTGATTATAAATTAGCTTTCTAATGAAAACATCTTATTAGTATTAGTTTTACAAACGGACCTTCATATGTAATATACATCATATTTAATGAAAAAAAACAGGACCTATAATTTGAGTATATCTCTTCCCTGTGTTCGTTTATCTACATCCAATGATGATTAGTCACCACAATAAAGAAAGCACATTATCCAAAGTCGCTAATATCCCAGTGAAATTAAGTTTTAAGTTTAGTCTCAAATTGTGGTGTAGATAATTCATTTTTGTATTGCTTTTATGAATTTTCCCATTGCACTCCTAAACATCAATGAAACGATTCAAACAACCGATACAAAAATGCATTAAAATTCCACTCACTTGCATAAGCTAGTGACCATCTGGACTTAGTAGCTAAGTAGATAACGAGATGGCGTTTGAAGAAAATGGTAGTGGGTTTGGGTTCCGGAATCAACACCAACTCCAGGACTCAGGCACATCCATATCACGAGTCTCAAATATGACGAAACGCGTGTCCTGGATTCCACTGCTAGCCACTATCCATCCTTGTTTATAATGCTGCTGGTGTAGGTACTCCGAATGTATCAAAAAAGGCATATTGTAATGAGCGATCTGAGTTTTAAGGGTTGAAGCATGCTCAAACAAGTAAACGCGTTACAATAGTTAAAAACGTTTTGTAACAGTTACAGTGCATGTAAAGTCTTAAAATATTTATCTTGGCAAATTGTAGTAGCACAATCTGCAGTGAAAGATCAAGAATACTACATATGCTTTGCATGTTGTGGTACTTGTAAACCTTTTCTGTAATGAAAAATGGAGAAGTGATAAACCCATGTCAATTTTTGAGATTATAGTCTGATATGTAGGTTAGATTAATTAATAATTTCCATATGTATGCTCGCTGCTTAAGACTGCATGACTATTAACGGTGATATATGCCAATAATATTTTGTCTTTTCATGTGTTTGCGAATCTGATTACCATAATGATTTGTAAGTAAACATGTAAATCCCTGGTTAATGAATAGTAAAAATGATTCAAATGAACTTTTTGAATGGAATATCTTTAATAAAACAATTTAACGTTATGGGAACATCTTCATCAAAGTAACTTCCACTGACAATAATCATTTTATTCTTTAGGTGACTATAGAAGTTAAAACGAACGTTTCACTGTTTTTCCGTGGATAATTACTAAAATAGCGCACCCGTTTATATGATAAACTGATCACTTTCAATCATTGAAGCATGTTTTCTAGTTCAGTCCTTCCTCTAACATGACATTTGTGAAACCAAAGATCTTAGACAACGTTCACCAAAATCGTTCCATAAATATTTTTCAAACATAAGTTATTTATTTTATATATAATAAAAAAAGCTTGCACAGTAGGGCACCAATAAACGATTTACATAAACAGAGCTGTTGTCTATTATCAAATACCCGTGTTGCTAAGATAATAAATCTCTTTTCTATAAAAGCTACAATGCAGTATATGAAGAAAACATAGGACACGTCTTTAAAGAGTAATGATAGCTATTTTACTCTTCATTTTTGATGCTTTAGTTATTTAAATCTTTCCGTTGCTTGACGTTTTAGGTGTCTAAAGGAATTGATACCATTTTGAGTTATTTTTAGTATTGTAAACATTTTGGGTTAACCAAAGTCGCACGAGTTTTAATTTGTTACATAATCAATATCATTCATTCATTCCCTTTTTGATTAATGCTTTCATACATTTACTTTCGTCCTAAAATATCAAAATATGTATGCTCGCTTTGTGTATTAGAGATGGAGCTGACAAATGAACCATGATCTCCTTCGATTAAGGTTTGATTAGTTCTTCTTTCAACCAAATATTTTAAAGGTCCTGTTCCAGTTCTCAGTTCAACTTTTAAAATGGATTGACCTTCTGACTTCTCTCTAGTAAATAAGATTTAATTTGTGTTTGTATCATATGTGTATGGGATTATTGATCAAAATGTTAACTCAATCTTGTGTTTTAAAAAGTCTGGTATTCTGTTGAGAAAGTTATTTTTGTTTCCTTCTGGGATTATGTTTGTTGGTTACTGCTATGGAATCGGGTTTCAAGCATTTTCTATGCTTTCGTTTTACATGAAGCTCCTTTGAGTGTGGCACCTAAACTAAAATCTCTAAGTCTGGTTTTAAAAACTTGTAATTAGAGAACGAAAATTCACTCAAAATTGAATCAGATAGAAGAAATATACATTTATTATCAAATTTTGGGTTACATTAAAATGCGAATTCAGGTGAAAGTTCGGTCCACTTAAGTCTTCTATCAATTGAATAGTAATTAGTTATATTTAATGAAAAAAAGTTTAAGAAAAAAAATTTTTCTAACAGTATTATGATCATGAACTTCTAAAATGTGTAAATTGTTTACACTCTAATAGGCGAACGAGGACATATAATTCATTACTTTTATTTATCCAAACATAGTTTGTTGATTGTATAGCAGTTACACCTATATGGAGAAAGCGTAGTTATTTTGATCTTTAGACTTGTCACAGTAGTTGAATATGGATATTGTCAGTTGTTTAACAGTTTATTGTATCACTAATGAATTTTAATTTAATGTTTACTGACATTATCGTTGGTAAATATTTAATGGTAATGGCTGTTGTTTTGTGTTAAATGGTTACATGTTGAGTGTCTCATTTTAAATAAAACAGTTAAACGTTCATGTACAGCTTTTTGTTCCTACTGCATTACACAAGCTAAAAGCTATGGCATATTTTTAATTTTTTTCAAAGGCGCCACTTCTTATTTCGATGCTAGAAGTTCGAATTGTAAAAAAGACTGTCTAGTTACAAAGAATAGTGAATCGGTTGACCACCCACATAAAGGAGCGCCAAACATATCTAGTAATCACCAGTTTGATTCAGGACCCAAACTGTGTAACGAATTTGATAGTTCCTTATCTCCACAAACAGAGTCAACGAAGCTATGCAATGTTACTTCTAGTAAGTTTTTACAAAACGTTTCAAATTTTATTATATTGATTACTAAATAGTGTCTGAAAACCTCAAAAAACCAATGTTAATAAACTTTATGTCATCTGATTTTACGTCATCAAAATGACGATAATTTTTACTCGAGTTCAGTAGAAAGGTATCTGAAAAATATTGTATTATAGTAATGATGTTAGTGAAGCTGCTTGACTTCGACAGATGCCCTGGTTAATCAGATGGATATAATGCTATCACCAGTTGTTCCTCGTAATTAGAAGTGATCATCTTTATTTATGGTATCTTTTTTCTTTGAGATATTTGTGGTCTTAGTAGCAGTTTTACAATAGATTTGAATTATTTTGACTGTACTTCTAATCATAACCTAATAGTAATAATATTTGTTTCGAGCTTTTTATTAAAATTAACTTTGGTTACTGAATCGTCTAACAGTTTACAATTTATAAGTCCGTAAAAATATCTTCATTTTATAGTTTTTTTTAAGTATCAGAATTCAAAAATCATATTACGAAATTCTATGTCATAGTAATAGATTCTCACTAGACCCAGCATTCTATCTTTAAATAGGCGAACAAATAAAATTTCCTCATAGGATATTAAATTATTCAATCAGTTCACAAGGCTTACCAATATAAAATTGTAGATATTCATAACCCCTATTTTACGGACAGCCAGTGCTTGATTTCATGTACGAATAAGCTTTTAAATTATCAAGATTTATCAGCTAATAGCCTTCACGATAGAAGAACAAACATCTACACCTTTAATTCAATTAATCTTTTGAATAATTATATACGAATGTACAGGTTTTATAAATAATATTGTTAAAAAGAAATTCATTTCGCTGATCTTCACTTTTTCTAATTAATTATGTGCTCAGTTTTAAGTTATCTTAAGTCATACAATTTATTCTTTTTGTGATGATAGTCTGAGATCATGTAGAGTTTGGAACTATTTAACATAATTTTTTCTGAGATAACAAATAAAACTTTAATACCAACTAAAAGCTATTATTATCGTTATTATTATTCGTATATTGGTATTAAAAATGTACCGAGTAATACTTCTTAATGCTAGGTGCCAATAAAAAATAAGTATGATCCAGGAAATAAGCAATTCTATTACTATATCAGTTCCCAAAAATAAATATTGTTACATTTTATTCCTTATTAGGTCTTACACTTTTACAGTTTGTGCTTGAAGCATTCAGAGAGATCATGGCTTAGTAATTAAATATATTTTAAACAAGTGTTTTTATTTTTTTGTTAACAATACGTTATCTCTTATTTGACGAGTTAATGAATGTTCTCCAAATCTCTGTACTAAAATATATTGGGTAACAGTTATGTTCACAGACACAGGTTTCCATTTTTTCCATTGTTTTTTAATTCGCTGCTGAGATTTTTGTGGGGCCCGTAATTTCGTCGTCATTTAGATCGAATGATGTTGTCGAAAGGGCTCTCCACTTTAGTGGCCCGGATTCTGATTCCAAGGTGATTGTATTGATGATTGTTGTTGAAATATATATGTCACCTATCCTCGTATATAATCATCGACTTAAGTCACGTTAGTCAATAACGGGATTAAATAAGTCGAATAACGAGAATGGAGTTGTGAATACATATATTCTGTATATAAAGTAAATGGAATAGAACGAAGCAAAACGACGCGCAGTGGAGATGGCGGGTAAGCCAACTCCCATTTAACCAAGCGTTAATGAATATTTATAGGCACAAAAATAAATTACAGGCATGTGGTGAGTAATGGGATAAGAACTGTACACACACCTACGCCCTCATCAGTCAAGACTGATAAACGAATAAATAGCAGGGTCAAAATGTAACTCGAGTAGAATGAATAGAATGGGATGTCCGAAAGCTAGAATAAGGTATATGGGCTTAACATAGTAATCGACACTACAAGTTAATGTAATTTTTAGCTAAACGCAAAATAGTAATTAGTTGAAACTTCACAAACATGTTCTTTTATAGTTTATTTATTAACTTACGATGCAATTAAATATTATCAGATTTATCAGTTTGGGTGTTGTGGAGATTGTTAAATTAGGACGAAACAGCCGTCCGGTGCTTCCAGGTTTTCCATGGTGGTCTAGCTTCAATTGACTCATGATTTCGATAAAAAATAATCAGATTTAATGGAAGTGTTGCGTGTTTATAGGCTTTTCTTCTACTGAAAAAAACGTTGTTCAAACTGATTTATGTTGTAGTGAATTCTAACTTTAGAAAGTCTTTGAGAGGGACTAATGCATTTTATCGTTTGCATTAGATAATGTACTGTTAATAATGCCAAACCTAACATAGATCATTTTACAGAAAGATAAATTGAAGTTTTATGCAATAATATTTTAGACATTTAGCAATGTCGGATAAACTAACTTTAGTATTACCCCATTAGTTTCTCTAATTAGGCAGATTTAAAGATCTTGATGGTAATTTAAAAGAAATCGTAAAATTTGATAAGCAAAGTCGATCTTAGTAAATTTCAAACAACTGCTGTAGATCCTGATGTTAACAAAACGAATCAGTTCAGGTATCTAAACTGTACTAACATTTCATCTCTATTCATATATTTTTTATGTCATTAAGTGTAATACTATATATTTTCAAAATAACCTATCCCTGAACATAGTGAAAAATTGCCCTACTTTTGTATTCAAATACTACGTTACATAATTTGATAATGAATAAATTTAACTTTTCACGTAACTTTATCATGGATTAAAATTTGTCGGTATATATATATATATTGGTTGCTATCAAAATGAATCGAAAAGTATCACAAAATAAATTGATGGTCAACTTTCCTTCTTAACTTGTTATTTTCTTATAGTAAGTAAATTTGTGCAATAATCGTTTATTCATATAGTTAAGGGTAATTAATACAAAAGATATGTAAATATTTCGAAGTAAAATCTACTAGTAGCAATCGAGTATTTAAGTGTAAATGTTTACGAATTAATTTTTAGGATTTCAAAACCAATGATAACGAACTGAATAACTGCTGTCTACTGAAAGTTTTACTTAGAGTGCTATACAAAGGAATCGTGAATATGTAGAAATGATTGAAAATCGATGCTTACCAACCTAATTGATACAACGTAAATGATGAAAAACGCTGAGTTTTAAAATAATTTTTAATTTTTCCAAAGTAATATGTTTTATGAGAATGGTATTTTCCTCTTCAATTGACATCATTTGCTTACACGATCTAGTTCAAAATGACTGACATTTGGTAAAATGTTCTCAAACTATTTTACTTTACCAGACAAATAAAGAAACAATTTTTCAGTCAAGAAAGGTGGTGGCTAGCGGCGGAATCTAAGACGCGCGCTTCGTCTTATTCGGGACTCGTCAGCCGGATATATCTGCATCGCAGAGTTGGTGTTCGCTCCGGGACATGGACCGAGTACCGAATAGGACGGAACGCGCGTCCTGGATTTCACTGCTAGCTACCATCCATCTTTGCTTATAATACTTGTGACTTAAGGCAGTATCGACGCAATCTACACAGGGTGCACATTTGCCAAGAAGAGACTGATCAATTACAGCTCTAAAGATCAACTGTAAGAATCAAATAAAACAACACAAAATAAATTCAAAGAAATAGTGTATTTACGTCTGAACTGTTGGAGTCCACTACACAACTCAAACAACAGTAGTCTTTATGTTAAATGTATATATTCTCTCACAAATATGTCAGTTTAGGTACCCAAAGTTCTTATTTTCATTTAATGCATCAACTAATTTTATTCCTGTTCATGTTTGATTTGTTCGAAATGGAACCTGATTTCGATATGCTGACGATCTTGTTCAGAAGAACGATGAAATCTCCACGACCAAACCACCCAGCTCAGAGAACAAAACTCCATCAAAAAAACTATTTATAAATTTTTTACATGATCTGAAATTGTTTTGAAAAAGTTAACCACTTTCCATCTGAAATAATCAATGAAGTATGATTTTCTTACAATTCTCTAAGAACTAGTTACATTCAATAATCATGATATGTTTTAGAGCAAAACGATTGGTACTTATTGTATAGGATGACTGCATTACTGAACAACACTATCATAGTCAATATTTCTTCAACTATTTTTAATCTTTAGCTTTAACTTTTAATAATGTTTGATGATCATAATTCATTTTTAAAGCACTTTCTAAAATTAATGTCTTCAAATGTCCAAAGACTTTAATCAGTTATTTACTTAACAGATTGATACTTTAATTCTGACACCTTTCTCTGCAATTTTATTGATTAAATAATAATTAAGAGAAGCTGAACACACAACTTGATATCCTCGCTAATTATTTCAGATGAAATTGCTTTATAAATATATGTTCATGTAAAATTGAAATACCTCTTATAGAAATATATTTTTGTCGAAGTTCATTTAAATACTTTGTATCCTAAAAAGAATACAGCAAATAATAAAGGATCGTGCTATTACTTTAACAGTTTTTTTCTTTATGATAATTTAACTCCATGAAAGGCTTTCATGATTCCTCAAATATTTCACTTAAAAAAGTTTACATAGGCTGATAAAGTTATGTTTTGTTCATTTTATAGGCAACTAATAACTTAATGATAGACATTTTTGTATAATAAAACTTGTTTGGTTGACATTTAAAACCAATTAATTCTTTTTTCTTAATAGCAGTGGGTCTACTATGATTATAGAGGTTTGTAAATAATTTGACACTTATGAAGTATCAGTGTTAATGAAAACCTTCTGAAAAATCTTAAGAAAATTTCCTAAAATATAATCAAGTATTTTCAAGTTATACAGTAATAAGAATGTTGAACGTTACATCATTGTATCCAGCACTATTTAATCACTATAGTAAAGCGTGAGAAATATTCTAGTTTTAACACATGTTACCAACTTAATGACTGAATGCTTTATGATTCTCAAAGCATATTATTAAATATGTAATTTGACTGTAAAAAATGTTACTATAATATGCATTATTAGT